TTTATTATTCACTTAATCATGGTTTAAATAATTTATTTTGATGGCTTGATTTGAAATCGCTCCATCTTTTCCTAGCTTCACAACCCATATGCGCATCTTTCAGTCATGGCCTGACCTTTTCCATTCCAGCTATTTAATTAACACAGTGTAATATTCTGTGTGAATTATTCTTGTTTGCAGGATATGGTACCGTTTAAATTTGTTAATGCAAAGGAGCAGTGCATTGTTGATAAACTGTTGGAAACCAAATTAGCTTTATCTTGCAGCTAGCTGATTGTCTTATTTCACTCATGGGTATAATAATTCTCTAAATATGCTAATTTCACTCTTTTCTCCGTGTGGTGACATTTTTACTGTTCTCATTACTGACATTTGTAATATTTGGGGTGGGGAAATTTTTCTTGCTTTAACCTCATTATAATGTAGCTAAAGAGATTTGAATGTTATCAGATGAAATGCACATATAGTCAGGCTAGCGGAAAGGTTATTTTGTCTCCTGGCCCATAATTTTCATGTCTGTAGCAGGACTTGCATGGCCTTAATGGCACCTAGATCCAAAACTGTGAAGCAGATGCCCATCCAGGTACCAATTACCCAAAAGTAATAGCGTATCCATTGGTTGGTGCCTCCATTTGTAACCTAAAACCTCTCAAGGTGGCTGCGTGTCCATATTCATGCCTGTCTGCCTGTGTCTGGCCTAAAACATTCTGGAATTCATCTTAGGAGGAGCCGGTGGCGTCGAGCTCTGATAGACTAGTGATGACAGACAAAAATTATGTGGCTGAAGCTGTTATTGCTGCCAAAAGCTCATCCCATCCCTGAGGCAGGCCTGGCTGATCCGCTTCAGAGTTGGCACCTGTAGGGTGCCGATTTAAACTAAGCCTTAAGAATATAAACTGAGGCTTTGACAGGTTTGTTATAAACTTGAGGCATTTGGAGAGTCCAGTTCAGCTAAAACATATCTTATCATGTCATGGTTGAGCTGGGCAGTCCAGGAGAGTATCCTTCCCATGGAGCAACCAACCCCCAGTTCCTAGTGCCTTAGGATGTCACGTTTGCTCTCTGCAGTTACCATGCTTTTGACAGATTTGTTCTCCATGTGACTTTCTTCAGAGATACCTGATGAGCTTCAGCATCCCCTTGGTTCTCACTCCTTTCTCCCAAAAACTCCTAATATGTGTACAATCTTGTCCTTTTTTGTGTCAACTCATACCCTTGCAATGTGACAAGCAACAAGTGATTGTATATCCTACAAAGTCTGGAAGCATTTTGGCACAAAATGGGCAGAACCTGAAGTTAACTCAAAGATTCAAAAGTGGCATCTAGCCAATTCTGAATATTCCTTCCAGCATCTAAAAAAAGGCCTGTTTTCCAGGGATTTCCCTCAATTTCTAGACTTCTACTGGAGTTGTGACAATGCAGTTTCAGAGCTGCGATAAACAGCACTAGTGTAGCAGGGAGCTGTAAGGGATGTGTTCTTTACACCCTGTCTTGAACAGCACCTCTGAAGGTGAGCCTTTGAGGTGTGAGTAAATCCTGTTCTTCCCTCAAGTTTTGACATCCCTCTTCTTCTAGTTAGTCAGGAACAGGTTGTTTAAAATCTGTTCTGTCTTGGGCTTGGTTTGTGCACCTTCCAATCTGTATATTCAGTATCTTTTCTTGCCACTCTTTTTTCTTGAGAAGTGGGTAGACTCTAGCTCTAATGTCATACAATGATTTCCTTGTACTTCAGGAGGAAAACAGTTTTACGTTGAGTGCTTCCTTTTTCTTTTTCCAGTATCAACAGGAAAAGAAAATATGGACACAACTTCAGCTTATGAAAGCTGAACAGTTTTATTCTTAAATTCAAATGCCAATGTTTTCCAGTGGGGAATTGATTTATACCTTTTGATTGCAGGCTGTGTATATCCCCATTTCAAAGTCCCCATTGTAGTGGAGTGATTCTAGGTTTGTGGTGAGACAAAGCCCATTCTAGGGTGCTTTAGGGAGATGTGCTCCTTTTTCTTGTGGAATCCACCTTTGTAGTTGGCCAGTGAAAGATATGTCACCTGTCACCTGTTTCCTGTAGACCACACTACAGGCTCTTTACTGTAGTTCTCAAAAGGAATATGCAAAAGTCACACCTGACTTGGGCTTTGAGCATATTTAAAGCGTTTTGTACTCCATTTATGCTTGTTCAGCCATTCATCACCTGCTTAACAATGAACATGTAGGTGATGATTGTACCTTCTTTGAGGGGGCGGTGGAAGCTGCATGATGTCTTTCATCCAAGCTCATTTTGATGACTACTTCCCTCCCTCACTTAGACAGCCTTCAGGCTCCATGTCTTAGGTATTTTAGGGAGTTGTTTTAGAGAGGTTATATTGGAGCTTCAACCTCATCAGACCACAGCCCCCGTGTTCTTTCGTTTTACTCGGAGCCAACATGCGCAAGTAACTGCAGACAACATCAGTGGAGTATTTTGCCTCCCAAAATTGTGTTAGGGAAATTAAGTTTCAAAGGCTAATGGTCTTCTCTATTCCTGAAAACCTGAGAGTTATGGAAATGAACTGAGTCA